TTAGTAAGATAAACGTTATTAGTAATACTAGGAGGAGACCTGTGGATACAGGTCTGCCCTGCAAGAAATCCTGAGGTGTTCTACATTGTCTCATTGGCTTGTGGTGGGGATAATGTCAGATTAATGCAATCTCCAAAACTGAGCCTTTCAGGATCATTTCCTTGTAAAACAAGTTCCCATTCCAAAGGAGTTCATCCTGCTGCAGGAGTAAGAATTTGTAAGCCAGTGAAGCAGACTTCTGAGTGAATGGTAGCTAGTCTTATTGTTTGCACCTTGCCACAACACTTTCAACAGGTGTCTAACATGCACCCATACTGATGTACACAGCTAGATTATTGCATTGAGGTAATCTCCTCTTGACCGTGATTATTGACTCAGTCTCAGGAGCAGCTGGAATTATGAATGGCTTTGCACTGTGAGGGGGTGGTGGGTGGTCTTTGTGTCTAGCAGACCTGACATTCTCTCATTCTGAAATAAGAGATGATTTGGTTTGCCATAAGCAACACCATAAGAAATTTGCAAATAAATTTTTAAAGTGCTCAATGAATACTGAGATTAAAAGTCATATTCAATCCAATTGATGAAGCACAGAAGTTTTAATTTAGTTTAACTTCTGCTGATGATGTCTATTAGCTCCAGAAACCCAACCTTAACCCAACCTTAACCCAACCTGCTGAATAACAATAAACAAAAGTGTGTAAAATCTTGATGGGGGCTTAAATTGGGTGTCTAACTCAAACATGCTAAACTAAAATTGGGCTTGCAATTTCTTTGTGTGCCTTTGCGGAGTAAATTTTTCTGATTAGTACTGTTGAGCAACTAACTGTTTTGAGACATTGAAACTTCACACCATATTAAAGTCGGCAATGTAATTGACATGCCTCTCCGTGTTTCCATTTGTTGTCTGCAATGTCAAAATAATGCACTTGTCTGTCTGGACTTTTCTGCAGGTGGCTGCAAAGAAGTTCCGTAATTTTGAGATTCCTGCAGAAATGTATGCTCTCTGGCGTTATCTGAACAATGCATATAAACGAAATGAGTTTAGCCACACTTGTCCAACCAATGAAGAAATTGAACGAGCCTATGCTGATATTGCCAAAAACCTGCAATGAAGAGAAATTGACTCGCGCGAGAGTTCCAATGTAATTGCTCAAACATCCAAAACATTATTTGTTAAACAGACAAGTGATAGGGAAATCTGTCTCAACCCTATTTGTTCACAATGCTGTTCTAGTGAGACGCCTGTTCAGTTGCTTTAATGCTCTTCATTGCTACCATTCCTATTCTATTATTCAGTGGGGGCTCAATAGTGATGAAACGTCCAACTATTGCAGTCTTGCACTTCAAAGTGACACGTTAGATCACTTTTCACAGATATAAAACGGTCTTAAAAATAAACAGAGAAATAAAGATAGTCATCAGCCTTGAGCCTAAATAGGCACTTTCCAGGCTGAAAGTTTCCTCAACACGCAGCATTTAAACTCTATCTGCTCTCAGGTAATTGGATTTTGAGGCCTTAAAGGTAGAGAATTCCCTTTGGGCAACAATGCAAGACATTTGTACTGCACAATAAAATCCCCCTGTATTTAGAAAACAACACCTTGCCTGATTCACCGTTAAAAGTCCATAGATAGCTAACTGTCTTGTTAAAATGCTTCAAGAATGGTCCTGTTCATAATTGCTTCAGATGGAGCTGAAGCTCAATAATGTACCAAAATGTCTCCTCATTTATCATAGAATCCCCACAGCGTGGAAACAGGCCCTTCGCCCCAACAAGTCCACACCGACCCTCAGAGCATCCCACCCAGACCCATCCCTCTATAACCCATCTAATCTACACATCCCTGAACACTACGGGCAAATTAGCATGGCCAATCCACCTAAGACTGCACATTTTTGTACTGTGGGAGGAAACCGGAGCACCCGGAGGAAACCCACACAGACACAGGGAGAACGTGCAAACTCCACACAGACAGTCGCCCGAGAGTGGAATCAAACCTGGGTCCCTGGCGCTGTGAGGCAGCGGTGCTAACCACTGAGCCACCGTGCTGCCCCAATTTAACCACACCCTTGACCAATTATCTTCAGTTGCTCTATCGATGACCTCCTCACCATCATACGATCAGAAGTAGGGATGTTAGCTGATATTTGCACAATTTTCGGAATTATTTGAAACTCTTCATACATGGAAGCAGTCCATGTCCAAATGCAGCAAGACCTGGATAACATTCAGGTTTAGGTTGACAATGATAAGTAACATTTATCTCACACAAGTGCAAGGCATTGACCATCTCAAACAAGAGAGAAGCTAATCATTGCCCTTTGATGTTCAATGGTATTAGCGTGACTGAATCCCCCAGTATCAACTTCCTTGAGGTTACCATTGACCAGAAACTCAACTAGACTCACCATATAAATACAGTGGCTGTAAAAGCAGGACAGAGGCTAGGAATCTTCCAGTAAGTCACGCACCTCCTGACTCCCAAAAGCCTGTCCACCATCTACAAGGCACAAGTCAGGAGTGTGTTGGAATGCTCCCCACTTGCCTGGATGAGTGCAGCTCCAATAACACTAAAAAAACTTGACATCATCCAGGACAAAGCAGCCTGCTTGTTTGGCACTACATCCACAAATACTCATTCCCTTCACCACCAATGCTCAGTAGCAGCAGTGTGTACTATTTATAAGATGCATTGCAGAAGTACACTAAGACTCCTTGGACAGTACCTTCTAAAGCCAACAATGTTACCGTCTGAAAGGACAAAAGCAGCAGACACACAGGAACACCACCACCTGCAAGTTCCCCTCCAAGTCCCTCATCATCCTGGCTTAAAAAAATTATATAAAAACCGAAAGAATTGCGGATGCTGTAAATCAGGAACAAAAACGAAGTTGCTGGAACAGCTCAGTTCTGAGGAAGGGTCACCAGACCCAAAAAGTTAACTCTGTTTTTTCCTTCACAGATGCTGAGATACCTGCTGAGTCTTTCCAGCAACTGTGTTAAAAAATTATATCACCATTCATTTAGTTTCACTGAGTCGAAATGGTGGGACTCCCTTTCTAACAGCATTATGGGTTAACCTACAGCAATTAGATAATAAATGCTGGCCTGGCCAGCGATGCCCCTGTCCCATGAAGATATCTTTTAAGAACATTCCTCCTCCAGCTTTTCTACTCACTGTCCAGGTGTGCGGAACTGTTCTAGCATGCTTCCATTTTTACCTTGAAATCTTTCCGTGAACTTGGTCCTGTCTAAGTGTGTAGCCTCCTCTAGTGCTACAACTCTCTGAGATCTCCGTACTTCTCCAATTCTGGCCCACACCTAAATCACTCAACAAGTGGTGGCCATACTTTTGACTGTCTTCTTTTGAAGCTCTGGAATATTTCGTCTAAACCTCTCCACATCTCTACGTCTTGCTCTTCTTTTAACGTACTCTAAAAAACTTGCTTCTTCGAACAAGCTTTACATTTATTTTCCTGATTTCTCCCTCAATGTGTCAGTGTCAAAAATGTTTTTATTGACATCATTTGTTTTAGGTGATTTCAAGTGTTTTAGTGTCGTAAATATGCTACATAAATGTAGGTTGTTGTTCTATACTGGGGGACTGAATCCCATTAAGCTACTAGAATCACTGCATTTTTACTGACAGCTTATAAATAAAATTTAGTTAACAATGAGTTCAACATGGTTAATCCACAAACAATGCTATTGAGGATTGGTTGCAATAAATTTTACTTTTAAACAAAAATTCAAAATACTTGCAATCACAGTGGCTGTTTGTTGTATGTTGAAGTATCCTAAAATGGTGTTGCTAGTTCTTAGTACTCAAAGGTAACGGCATTGTTGGAAAGAGGATCAGCACCGGTTGGAGACATTTTAAATAAAAAATTCTTCTCATCTGTTCTGACATAGAAAATATGAAGTTAATCGGGCCCACAGAAAACCAAGGACTAGCAAAAGCACAATGATAAACAAACTTCAAAGTTCATTATTAAGCCCAAATCTCTACATTCAACCACTGTGATACGGCACTGTATTGTACTATAACTCAACTCTACAGATAGGCCATCTCTCTATGTCTAAATCAAATTTACATATGTGAGACAGGGAGCAACTTGGCAGCAACTAATCGACACCAAATCTGACAGGTATTGCCTGCTCTAACTGAGCCCCCACCCAAACTAATCCACCAAACATAACCAGCTGAGCAAAAGAAAAGTGAGACTGCAATTTCTAACTTGTAACATTGAAAGTGTCTGTTTTCAATTTGTGTTAGTGACATTTTCTGTAATTTCCGAAGGCATTTTGTTTGACATTGAATAGCTGATATAGAGAGCTGCAAATAGTCGATAAAGATACAAAATTTTGATGTCTTGTAAAAATAAATGTACTTTAGATTAACATGTCACATAATCCTGATTTTTTTAACCTAGAAATGAGATGAATGTATCCCGAGCAAAGATTGTTCCTCTGTTAGTGTTAAAGAACCATAAACATATATCATGTTGTGATAATATTGTGCAAATATAGAAAAACCTTATTGTCATGTAGCATATCCTTTAATAAGAGCCTGAAACTATCTTGCTGTATATTAAAGAATTACGTTGTTCTTTTCTTTCTAATGTGGTTGATATATTTATTTGCTTTTGATATTCTTTATTGATGTGCATTAATGCATCTCCTGCTCAACTGCATCCATACTTCCTTTTGAATTTAATATTTCTTAACTCAATGAATATTGGAGCTAAAATAGTTGAGTATATTTTCAAGTTGGCGATGTATAAATCTGGTGCTCTGAGTCTGCAGGGATTGAATTTATCCCTGTGTCTGAGGGTGTTAAGATGTGTATAGGGTTTTTGCTGAGCAAAATAAGGAGCAATAATGCATTTTATTTTCAGATCAGCAAGACTCTTCGGTGATATCAGAAAGAGTAGAATGGTGAATAACCATAGGCTGAGCAACGAAGCCCAATCAAAATATTTCCCTTTCATTTAATGTCTTTTTTGGGAATCCTTCTGCTGATTGAAACGAAGAATGTTAATCTTGGTGACAGCACATTGTTAAATGATGTACCCAGAGGCTAGTATTCCCAGCTCCTTTACTCCATTGTGACAATGCTCCAAACTTCATACCATCATGCATTAGTGCCACCCGTCCATCATCCACATCAATAATCCCTTGGGGGTTTCAGATTGAGGTTATTATTTTAGTGCTACTGAATACAAAACTAATTTGATGTTGCTGAGCCATATACACAATGACCTGTGCTAACAAAGTGCAAATTCATTTCCTGTAGATGAAGCTTTAATTCCCTTCGTCAGGATCATATTCAAAATCACATTGCATCAACTCTTTATAGCACCCAAGCTCTCTTCAGCTATCCACATAACATGAATCAAACAAATCACAGAAACTAAATGCCAATCCTTAATTGCCACTTATATTTTATTTGATACTGTTTCATTGATTCTGGTAGATGATGAGCTTGACAAACATGTCACAAATATGCAATCTTTGGGTAACGGGCCCTCTCCAATTCACAGGAAACAACAGAACTCAATTCAGTACAAAAGTATTATTTATTCACACTGTGTTCATAAATGTTTAATTACAGAAGTATTTACACATCCTCTGGGCTTCAGCCTCTCATTGAATAAGGCAGGGTCTGTTTGATAGAAGTTTTACTGAGAGATTGGCTTTGGCATTTTGTAGAGCGGACTGCCAAGCAGTTGAATGTTGTTATGGTGTTGAGAAGATCAGTCAGTCAGTAACACAATATTTCCAGAAACAGGCTGAGGGAGAAAGAAGACAACACAGGCATCACAATTGCTGATTACTCAAAGTGACTTTGACTTTGTAACATAGAAACAGGAGTGGAGCATTAAGCCCTATGAGCCAGTTAATTTTGATCAGTTGAATTTACATTTAATGTTTGTTTATATACAAATCCTAATGTTATCAAAGAAAATCTAAAACACAAATGTCTGCCATAAAATTGTCCTTTTTAGAATTTAAATCCGATGTGAGCCTATTCAATAACTGAATTCATTTCTAGATTTAAATATATTCAACTTGAAAACTTCAACATCAATTTGAAAAGCTTTACTACTTTTTTGACTAAAAACGATTGGTTTGTACTTTCTCTTTCTGCTAAGATAATTTATGCAGTGCAATCATGTGTCTCTTTCATTCCACACCACATTATTTTCCGACAGCTTTGGGTTATCATCATTGGAGCCAATTACACAACATCACAAATAATTTACAGCTGAGAAACAGGCATTCAGCCCAAATGGTTGAAGTAAGTGTTCACATTGCACTCCAGCTTCCTCTGACTCTACTTCAGCTAATCACAATGCAACCTTTCAATCTTATCTCCCTCATGTATTCGTCTAGCTTCCTGACTATAGGTAGGGTATTATTACATTGGAGGGGTTCAGAAAAAATATTTACTGGGATGTTGCTGGGACTGGAGAGTTTGAGAATTTAAAATAGTTTGAATAGGCTGGGACTTTTTCACTAGAATGTAGAAGGTGGAGGGGGTGACCTTATAATGGTGTATAATATCGTGAGGAGCATAGATGAGGTGAACGACAAAGGCCTTTTCCCTAGGGTGGGGTGTTCAAAAACTAGGAGGCATCTCTTGACGGTGAGAGGAGAAAGTTTTAAAAGGGACATGAGGCGCAACGTTTTTATACAGAGAGTAGTTCTTGTGTGGAATGAACTGCCAGAGGGAGTCAGTGCAGTCACAACATTTAAAGGACGTTTGGATAAGTACATGAATAGGACAGGTTTGGAGGGATTTGGTCAAATGTCTACGTTATTAAACACTGCTCATAATTTTCAAGATCTCTTGCAAATCACCCCTGAGCCTTCTCTTTTCTAGAGGAAAGTGTCCCAGCCCATTCGGTGTTCCCTCACCATTACAAAGTTTTAGTTCTGATTCCATCCTTGCAAACCTTCTGCAGCATCTCCATAGATACAGATAGCAAGGACTGCTGATGCTGGAGTCAGAGATAACACAGTGTGGAGCTTGCGGAACACAGCAGGCCAGGCAGCATCAGAGGAGCAAGAAAACTGACGTTTCGGGTCAGGACCCTTCTTCAGAAATGGGGAAGGGGGGAAAGGAGCTCCGAAATAAATAGAGAGAGGAGGGGTGGGGTTGGGGAAGGTCGGTGGGATGGTGATAGGTGAGTGCAGGTAGGAAGTGGTGGGGATTGG